TTGCTGTTGATCAAAAGAATAGAATCAATTCTTTTGTCATAGTTATTGCTTCTGGTTTTAGTTTCGAGGAAAATCTATAGGAAATTTTATTAAATTAGCCCTCTCCAAGCAGTAGTGGCAACCTATACCACAAGGTTGGAATGAAATAAATGTCAATGGAACTCGAATCTAAAAACAAAAGTTTTCAAGGCTTTAGGTGAATTTCTTATAACTAAGTCAACACTTCATTGTAAAAAATATATATATATATTAAAATACTCTTTAGGTGACTAATAAGAATTGAGTATCTAAAACCTAAAGTCATAATAGAAACTAATTCCCTATTGGCCAAAGTAAAAATTACAAAGTTTACAGAGTACCAATACTCTTTACTCATTATGTCGGGATTGCATTAAGCTGATTAATAAATATTAGGCATGTGAGCTATGTCATGTTTACAAGGAGGCAAATTATTGTGCTGATACAATGGCCTCTAGATTCTATCATCTAGTTGAGGGCTTCTATTTCTTTGAGAAACCTTTGGATATAGTTCACGACAACATTTGCAATGACCTAAATTTTGCAATGATTCTTTGGGTGTTTGTGAGCCTTCTGCTTATGGATTATTCAGTGCTTAAAGCACTGCTCCATGTACCAAAAAAAAAAAAAAGGGAATATTAGAATGTGGGGTTAGACTTCATGTCTACATTTGTAAATTATCTTCTATAGGAGTTGACATAAATGCGGAATATTTACTTTAGAGTTTAGAGTTTGTTTTGGATTACTTTTACTTTAACCTCGAGGAATTTGTAGGAAGATCCTGTGAACTTTTACATAATCGGCTTGCCTCGGGATTCAATGATTCCAACACAAAAATCAGGAAATTGAACTACTCGATGTTGGAAGTATAATCGGTTATTTAAAAAAAAAAATTATAGAGTAAATTGTAGGTTTAAAATATTTTTAATAAAATTATTTTTTAATTATTTCATTAAATATATTTTATTAAGTTCATAAAATAAATTATATTTTTAATGTACAATTCCAGCGCTAATATATTATTCCCATAGCTTAATAAGAGCTTTTGTTGATATAAATGACTACATAATCCAGCTGATATTCTTGTGACAGTGACAGATGATTGAGCATGTCAAATTCAATCCTAATAACTGAATAAGCTTTTATAGTTATTAAATTAAGAAAAATGATATTTGTATAATTTTTTTTATTTTATTTTTTTATATAACATGACATCTGATTAAAATGATTAGTTCTTTTAATTTATATGAGTAATTCATATGAGACTCATAATATTAAATACATCTACTTATTTAATGACATGTGAAAATTATATAAAAAAAATAAAATAAAAAGATTACTCTAATAGCACCACCCTTGAATTAAATATATTCATTCAATGTGCTATTCTGCTGCCGCTAAAGTTGAAAGAAGACTGATTTCTTTATAATATTGTCTGAGCTGTTATTCTTTGCCGCTGCAAATCTAAGCAGGCTAAAATTTCTCATCATGCATTCATTTTATGGTGCAACCCTTTCTGTCAGAGTCATGGTGTCTGTTTTGGTTATCTCTGGCTCATTACAAGGCGAAAGGGGTTGCTCCTGTGTCTTGATGAAAACTTGATCTCTTTCCTTTCCCCATAACAGCAAGTAAAGGCCAATTATAACAATGGCTCCACCAAGTATGCTGAATGTTAGAGTGATCAAAACAACAGTTACATTCATATATATATAGTGATCAAAATTTCAGGTGTCTATTGTAAATTTTGTAATTTTGTAATTTTGTAATTTTGAGATGAACTGTAATTTTTACCTTCCTGTGTATAGTTTCTCTCCTACTATAAAGTAGGTTGAAAACACTGCCATTACTGTACCGAGGGGACTAAACATGGTCACAAAGACTGGCCCTTTTTGTTTCATGCACCAGAGTGTTGCGACTAATGTTAAACCAGAACATACGATTGCCTGCCATTCAATTTCATCCTAAATAGGTTAGACAGGATTCAGAAACAAACATTACATCCAACAGTGAAACACTTACCGAGAACACAACACACCAAAAACTAACACTGAATACCCTAATTGACCATGCAGCCAGTTTGTGTTGCAATAGTATTGCGAAGACTACTGATTGAGCTCCCCCGATACAATTCATCCATGCTGTTAGTGAAAGCTGTGCAGGATATTTCTTCAATGTAACAGCCTACAAGAGGAAGAATATGATTAATACCCCAAAATAAAATGGTATCTCATTTTCTTAGAAATGTTAGTTTTGTTAATTACCTGCATAATGTAAAATAAAGACCATGAAATGCAGGAAACAACAGCAAGAATTGACCCTCTAGTCCAGTTCTCATGAATAGAACCTCTATTGATGTGAACCAGAGCACCTTTCATACTTTGCAAAGCAGGTCCCTTGTATAAGGTAAGGGTGGTGACCCCTGCTAATGAAATTAAGGTCCCAAGAATTTTGGCTATTCCGCGAGAGCTCCTAGCATCAACAACCTCCATCCTACTTCCAAGTACACAAGAAACTTTGTTCACAATTCCATTAATCTATTTGATAGTTTGAAAATTTTAAAGAAAAAGAGATCAGTACTTCTTATGCATTCTTGATCCATCTTACCTAAGTATGATTGCAATTACAAAAGTCAAGGAAGCAATGGTGTTGAACATTGATGTGACAAAAGTGGTGGAAGTATATCTTAAGCTTGCAAGGTACATGTTCATGGTCAAGGCAATGCTGTTATTCATCAAATCAAATGAAGCATAAAAAGAAATTTCAGTGCTTAAATTGATACTCTTGGATCTCATTTGAATTATATTTACGTATAGAAGAAACAAGTATACCCCACAAAAGAAATCAAAGCTATCTCCAAAAACAATGCCAGTGTCAGCTTTGGTCTTGTTTTTCTGAAAAAGAAACAAATATCTGACAAAACTTCATTGTATAACAACTTAATATTAGTTGATGAATGTTTCTGTTGTTCTTCTGAAAAAGAAACAAATATCAGACAAAACTTCATTGTGTAACAACTTAATATCAGTTGATGAATGTTTCTATCTGTATATAACTTACCTTTCAAAGAAATAGGCAAAAGGAGTCATGAACAGGCCACCTATGATATAACGATAAGCTACGTAGACATGGGGATTCAATCCTTGATTGAATGAAGCTTCTAAAATGAAATATTGAAATGTAAAACAAATATGACAAATGATCAATAGAAGGTGTGGCTTATATCTCGCATAAACTGCCTTGAATGTAGAAGCCATGTCTCTTGCGTTTCTAATGATAGATATCATTTTTCCTCTCTGTGTTTGCCTGATGGTTGGGGCAAGTGAAGGCATCTATGCTAATGCAGATATAAGAGTTCAATGTGGTATTATGCTTCATGCATGTTGAGAGCATCATGTTCTTATGCCATTTGTGATTCAGACTTTAGCATCTTACTTGATGAAAAGAGCTTTTCTTGAGACTATTGATCAAAATGGAGTATGATATTTTCAGCAACCCTTCGTTATTTCCTTGCTCTTTCTACCTTTGTTAATGCAACTTCTCAGTATATAGTCACACCAAGTTTTTACCTTTTGGAAACTGACCTGTCTGAATTGAATCAGGTTCTTAGCACTAGATATTAATTAAACAATTTCAAGGATAGTATAAACGGTTCTGCTACATGATTTTAGTTGCGTTTAGCGTAGAATGAGCTTATTTCCGTGAATTTAATGCAGAATCTGATCTTTATAACAAAAAGTAATCATAATTCTAAAGGATGTTTAGCATCTGTCTCTATTATATGCCCAATAATTCTAAATGTTTGCAATGTTATAAAGTAGATATGTATAGTTTGCATGTTATAATACGTTACAAAGTTTTAAGAAGCTTTCTAGTAAAGTTTAGTGCTTCCTGCAAAAACGAATAATAGGTTGTCGGCCGGCTCTTTAGCGTTGAAGGAAAAAATTTTTTTAAATGACAGTCAAAATTAAAAGATAGAGAACATCATTCATGTAATGGGAACCTCAATTATTATTATTATTCTTTTTGTTTTTATGGTTCTTTCCTCCCCTACACCATTTTTGTACAGGAAATTGGATCAAAAAGAACATCTTGCTGCTCTCATTTTAGTGCTTTCTTTGCATTGGTAATTTGAGTATCTTTCAATTCAATAATACTGATAAATAACCAATTAGTCACATTAAATTGGCTTTTCTGTAATAAGAATCTCAGATATTTTTCTTGCTTGGTTGTTCTTTCTTTCCCTCATTCCTTTTGGACAGAAATGGATTCAGATTCTCTTTATTATCTGCATAATTCTTTAAAGAGAATATAAAACTTTCTTTCATGGCAATTATGAAGAAGCCATTGAAGAAACCTAGTTGAAACATGAAGTTGTGAGTTGTTTAATTGAAAACATGAACGACATGCTACATGATTAATAACTTTCTTCTTACTTCTAAGTAGTCAGTATCCAACATCCTTGCCAACAGAACTAGACATGTTTAGCATCCCAAGTTCTTGAACTACCAGCCTTTTTTGTTTCCTACAAATTTGTTTCATTTGCAATAATTTGTACTTCTAAGTTTACATTTCTGAAGTAACTTGTTTAATCTTGGAGATGAAGCCAAAGTGGTCTTAGTAATTTCCTCCTATGTAAAGGAGATAAAAAAAAAAGAAAATAGTGATACAAATGGCAGGAAGACTGAAATGTGTGAGGAAATAAAAGGAATAAGACAAAGAGAACATCTGGAATTTAGAACACCCCAATACCCTTCTTTAGGCAACAACAGCTGGGGTGGAGCTTCTCCCTTGTTAGCTAGGAACATACCAAGGAATCACTTGATCAAAGGTATTCAAGGCTCAACAATGTTCGTGTTTGTGATGAGATCTTTCCAGCAAATGGTGACTATGATTTTCAGTTGGACTCTCCAAGTACTCATGCAACAGAACATGAACCTGCCCCCATGCCAAGACACTGCAGAAGAGGTTTTTGGCAAAGCTGATTTTCCAACGTGAGGAGAAGGTTGCTGAATTTGGTTCAAATTTGAAGAAGAAGAAGAAGAAGAGATGGTTCCCTAGATTGGATCCCCATAAAAGATGGCCTCAATGCTAGTGTTAATGCAGTTTGATGCATGATGCATCCAAGAGGCCAGCTGTGGAAGTCTGTGGATGACAAACATACATCTTACGCTAATGGTAATCAAGTACTAAGATCAACATCTTGGTGGATCTTTGCAATTATTTAATACTGATTTTCTCTTAGGATTTTTCTTGAAACAAGATGGTGTAAAATTGGTGCATGAAGTGCCTATTATAAGTATTGACCAACCATGAGAAGGAAACATATTATTTTGATTCCTTTGTAGTCCGGCTTTGTTTGTATCTAAAGCTTCATTTGGTCGTTCTGTCCCTGTAAATTATAGCCTGATCACCCTTCTTCTCGAAGGAATATGTTTCTGGGTTTCAAGTCCTTAAAAGTGAACAATATGGCATGCAATTTGATCCTGTTCCTGGTGCTATAAGCTTCAATCTTGGATTGGAAGTGTTACTTCATCCATTGAAGAGGTATTGTTGGTGGATGGCATAAAATATCCTCTACTATTTGGAACAACCAGATTAAATTGGTTTGCATTTTGCGTACCTCTGAAGCTCTTTTAGTTTGTAATTTAAGATTTGCCTTCTCGGGTAAAATCATTACACACTCATTCGAGGGACAAGAGATTTTATCCTGAAATTTTTTGGGTAAATATGACAAAAATTGACCTAACATGCTAATTCTATCCCTTAAAATGGATTATAGATAAGGTTTCTTGACTTGCAATTGTTTTAAACCTAATCATTTTGACTTCTATCCCATTTAATCTGTGACCCGTGACAACACAACTCTAATCCAACACCACCCTGTTTTCCATCAGTGGTCCCTTCGAATTGATATTGGTATTAGAATGACAAATTAATGTCCAAAGACCACCTTATCTTCCAGGTCATAGACAATTGAACCTAACCTAATCCTAGGATTACTGGTGGTTAGGAATTATAAGCAGCCTAGTGGGACAGCGTTAGCATTGAGCCATTGACTTTTCAATGCACATTTTACTTCAATTACTACTATTGTTTTTTTTTTTTTTTACTTCCAGTATCCAGTAATCGCATTAGGTTTTGATTGATTTAAAGTTAAATTGCACCAGACTCATTTGGAGAAAACTTTCATAACGTCTATTTTTATTGACAAAATTCAAATTTAAGATCTTATTTAAAGGAATTGAACTCTTTCCATTCAAACTAATAGGTTATTGGTCAAATTATTATTATTGTTGTTATTATTATTATTATTATTAGTTGAGATATAATTTTACACTATATTTATATAAAATTTTAATTATTTATTTATTTACTTTCAATAATTAAAGTTTATTCATATTTATTAAAATAATTATTTTTTCATTAAAAAATCATATTAAATCTCAATCATTAAAAATGAAAAAAATGAATGATT